ACTATACACACATTACCTCTCTTTTATATACCAGCGTACCCTATTTCTAGTAAGAACTTGAACATTCGCCAAAGTACATGATAGTTCTAGAAATGTTGCGTCACGGTGGTCATGTGACTCGCTGACGCAACAATATTTTGACGTTCTCTACGTCGTATTCATGGGTTATTTTCATGACATAGTAATCTATAATTTTTTATTACATTGCCTTTTGTATTTACATAATTCCTTAGTCAACTTTTATATTACATCACGCCAAATATCAATGCTTTAACTTGATGGCCCTTCATCTCTGTTTAATATTTCTTTTTCTTTTTTTTAATTTTATTATTTCTAGTGATTCTCTGACGTTTAAAGCTGTAATGCTACGAGATTGAGCTTAAAATTGTAGTTTTTACATGTATTTTAAATTCCTATTAAGTGTAGTCCAATGTGAAAATCATCTTGTTCAGTTCAACAGAAGTCTATCTCAAGAGAAACAAAGCTGTGGAACTAATCACAATCCAGTAGAAGCCACTGTTTCGATTCTATTTCGTAATAGATATTGTGTTAATTGTGTTAAATCTGTCCAGTCTCATTGTTCCATACGCACCAAGGAAACCCAGTAAAGTTTTAAAACCCAGATTACTTTCCTAATTACCAGAAATATGCTGTTATTAGCGGGTCTAACTACTTGATTCTTATCGGAAAATTAGTTTCCACTTGAGAATACCATTAAGAATTATAATGCATTATATTGATACTTTTCACTATGACATAGGCCCATCTTATCTCTCTTTATTTAACTTGTGTTCAGAATTACTGATGAGGAGCGGAATTCTTCGAAACTAGTTTAACCCAATAACACACGTTGATCAAAGTGTAGATTGAACTGGACCTCCCTTGAACTTAGACTTTGGAATTTGTTTATTATTGTATTATATTGTTGTTTGCGCGATCAAAACTGATTGATTGTTTTCAATCAATATTCAAAGTCACTGGAATCATAATGATATTTTGTTCTTGTTGATAACAATCAATCTCCAAACACAGAAATAATCTGAAATTAAGAACAGTTCTAACAATGCTTTAAGTAATGCGGATATAACATAACATTCCTGCTGTTATTGTCATCAGCTAAGCAGTCTTTCTGGGATTTAAAATACAAGAAGATAAAGCAATGCTCAACTCGTGTTTTGAGAGCGAAGTATATTATTAAAGCATTTGATGTGGATCGATTCTAACCATGAGAAATGTGATAAATATTTATTGTTTTGGCCTTCAACTAACAAATCATAATAACTGTTAGATTATAATACTGTTACGCCTCTGT